CTTAAAGTGCTTTGAAGACCACATTTACTAAGGTTACCGGCACAATTGAACCACAGCACCCTGAACTCTAGGAGTTCCTCATGCGTCCACTTCGGAGCCTTAACGGTGAAGCCTGGCTTTCAGGACCTGGGATGAGACAGATGTGACCTTCCGTCCCTACTCAGCTCCATGGACTCAGTGACCTGCAGCAAGGGAACTGTTCTAAATCGCAGTTTCTTCTTATGTAACATGGAGATGATGAGAGCTGTCACTGTCTAGTGCCATTCAATCAAATGAGAGATGCGTTCCGCCCACTGCACCTCTGGTAACACGCTGTTACTATTCCCATGACGTCCACCACCTGCCCTGGAGCATTAAAAGGCATTAACAGCCATTAAAGACTCTTGAGAATTCCTCCTGAAAAAAGTTGGATTGTGTAGAAGCTACTTGACTCAGTCGCTCTCTGGGGGTCGGGGAGTAACCTCTGCAGCCTGCAGTGGATGTGGCGGGGTGGGTGGAGTCCTTTGCTGCTCTGTGCCACCCTTTCTGTCCCTTTGGGTCTACCTTGGCAACTTCCTCTCACATATTTCTGGAAACAAAATCAAGCCCTGGAGTGTGCTTGAAAGTTAAGAATTAAATGCAGGTCTCAGTTCTTCTTCAGGGTGTGTTCTTTCTCTCTATGAGTAGCAAATGTTTGTAATACACAATAATTATATTCATTCTGGGGGTTGGTGTCTAGGTGTAGCACATCCTGATCACTTTTATTCCACTCTCCTCCCATTCCCCCAAACCCCTCCCATCTCACAAAGTCTACCTCTCTGTTTCTTATCATCTGTCTTTGATTTTGCTCTTCTGGGTGTATCATTTCTGAGTCGCCTGCCTTGAAATTAGATCGTAGTAAATAAGCTGAGAAGAAAGCTGTGATTGCCTACCTATAATAAATTGGCATCGTTTTAAGAATCATAATCATAAAAGAGAGATGAGATGGTCTCTACGCATAAAATAAAACTCTCTGCACTTCATAAAACGCAAGACAGCACTCGGCTCAGTGCCCTGGGCAGTGGTAGTGACCCATATCTGGGGCTAACTTCCCTTGGGAGCTGGTCATTGTGGGGAGGTGGCTGGCTTTCTTACAGCAGGTTCATCTCTTTAGAACTAATCTCTTCTCTTGTGGTGTGCTGAATCTTGACAGACCCTTGTCACCTTGTTTGTAAGACTTTGATCTTGTCTCAGTTAGGGACAGAACCTGTGATGACAGTATGGGCGGTGTGGGCCTGGGAGAAGAGGTCTCTAGTTCATCTATTTGTATTATTTATGGCGTGACGCCCAGCTCCCATGAGTCTTTCCCCTGCCACATCAGTCAGTGGCTCTGCTCACTCCCCTGTGTGAGCTGGTCCCGCAGACGGAGGGAAGATGGAGAGCTGCTGCCTGTGAAATGATTTGTTTCTGCTGACATTTTGTCACTTATTGCCTTTGCTAGAGAGGCCTCAGTTCCTTCTGCAGTGACTAATGAAAGGCTGTGATAGGTTCCGAACACTCTAGAAGATCCCCTCTAATCCCGAGGTGCCTCCTGAATGCTGTCTTTGGGTTTGTGTTCTTTGGAAATGATGCTTGACCTTCTGTGTGCTTCCTTCTTACTGAACTGCACCCAAAACAAATGTGCTAAGTTCTAATGCACAGGAAAGCTGTTCACTGTTCAAACACACACACTCTGCGGACATTCAGATCCAGGCATCGGGCACACACCAGCGTCTAGAGAGACCTTGACAGGTCTGAGAAAACACTAACTTATTTAGCATTTTCAGTGTGCAGAATTAGGACTATTTCACCAACCCTAATCCTCAAAGTGTTTCATTTTATTTTAAGTCATTTTGTATTTTTTGTCTCCTGATATTCAGCCTGAGTCCTGGGTTATGTAAAACAACACTGACCATGTAGGGAAAATGAGCAATGTTTTGAGGGAAGTGACATTAAAATCAGTTACACGTGTAAAATGAAGATGGCGGTATCCTGATGCCTGACAACCCAGAGCAAGTCAGGAAAGAGCTGGGGGGAGCTGCACGGGGGCAGCACCCGGCCCCCATTCCAGCCCTGCCTTCGCGTAGTGGTGGGGCTGCGGGAAATAGCTCTACATTTCCTCTTCACTAGATGCCACATCAATGCTGGGTGCTCCGATTCATTCTTGGAAGGTTAAACCTGAAGATAAAATGTAGTATGTGCTCCTCCTTAGCTTTAGTGTTTTCATAATTTTCTGCATTTGTTTTTTAAGTTAGAGAAGTTAATTCTATAATTTGAGTTTCATGGATCTAAGTCTTCTTCAGATTTCTTTTTAAAGAAACTCAATTTTTTTTTTTGATACAAGGAATCAAACTCAGGACCTTACATTTGCCAGCAGGTGCTGTGCCACTGAGCTATACTCTGGCCCCAAATTTCTTTTTGATTTACTGACTTTAGTATTTGGCTTGTCTGGTTCATGGTATTGCATTGAGGGCGAATGTAGTCATGATGTTGAAATTTATTTATTATTTATGTTAATAAAATAATTGCTATAGGATAGATTTGGTTTTATGAACTTGAAAGATCCGTTAGTTTCTTTGGCTTTATTTCTATTGGTAAAAGCCCAAACAAATAAACAAACTAGAATTATTTCTTTATTTTTCCCGAGGTTTTGATTACCTATCATGTAAAGAGGATTTTACTATGTTTTAGGGTGAGGAATATTAAAATAATTTGAGTGGCTTTGCCCTCCTTTTCTTTTCTTTCTTTCTTTCTTTCTTTCTTTCTTTCTTTCTTTCTTTCTTTCTTCTTTCACCATGGAAACTGCTCCTTTAGTAATATTGCTAAATGAACGAAATGTTTTACTGATGTATTAGAAAGTTAATAAGCACATGTGGGACACTATTATTAAATTTATAAAGAAGACAGGATGCACCTATAAGGAAGGACTCTGGAAATAAGTCCACACGTCCGTGTCATCTGTGACCGCACCAGCAGCGGGGCGTTTAGGCGGCCTGCTCTGGGGCCTTCCTTTGCTCTGTGCTCCATTACTGTATATGAAATGGGTTAAACCAGGGTTCCAGCGCCCAGGATCAAACTGAAACAGCAGCACAAATCTATGCAGTGAAACCCTGGGAGTAAGCGGGGAAAATTCCATGTTATGTAATTCCTCCACAATCAGTAAAATGCCTTCCCATGTGTGATTTCATTTCTTTCATCAGTAGTCACAGGGGAGATCCTGGGAGCTGTTCAGAGTCTGGGCCTCCTCGCCCCTGGCCTGGTGGCCTTTCCATTGCTTCCAAGATGCCTCTGAGCTCCCATAGCAGTGGCAGGAGCGTGGGCCCTGATCAGCTGTGCAGGAGACTGGTGTCAGTGCACAGACAGGGAGAGATTTGAGTGCGTTCCTGTAGACGTCTATAGCAGCACCTGTGTCAGACCCTCCTGATCCCACAGTGGCCTCCCTCCCTCTGTTCCTGTGTAACTTCAGTGAGGGGTTAGTGCTTCTTGACATTAGAACATGGTCCCTTATGGTAATTATCATTTGGTATAATCCTTAGAACAACAGACACATTTATGAAGTCCCATTAGGGTAGTAAGCTGTAGTGTTCAATCCGAATGGAGTAAGCCCAGCAGGGAAGCCAGGATGGACATGTTAGAAATCTCCTCCACTCAGTCCAGCCCACTGGTTCCTTCAGTCGTTCTTCCTCTCTGGTCAGGAGAGACCAAGGAAATGAGGCTGAAACAGGGGATGAAGTCACCCACTGGTGTTCCCTGGGAGCAGCAGGACGAGCTGAGTTTCAGTCCATCAGGAGTTAGTGTTGAAGTTTGCATCAGCAGAACCAGGTCCCCCAGAAGGTGTTGAGAATCATGGAGTCAGAGTGGGTAGGCCGCCACTACCTAGGATAGGACAGGACCCCAGGAACAGGGCAGGGTTCAGAGCTGGGCCCTGCAGGAACCAGGCAACTCAGGGAAATCCAGTGCCCAGGTTTAATATATAAAAATGCACATTGTCAGTTAAATTTGAATTTTAGGTATATAAAAAAATTTTTTTAAGCCCCAAACAATGGATATTCTTTAGCTGAAATGCTTAGGACCAGTGTTTCTGACTTGAGGTTATTTTATTTTGAGTTTTAGAATATTTACGTATATGTATGGAGATTTTGAGGGGTGACACTCCTATAATTCCCTTATGTTATATGCATGCCTTATACATAAATAGCCTGAAGAAAATTTTCTACCACCTTAAGGACCTGTGTTTTGACTGTAGCTTGTCACACGGGGTCAGATGTGGGGAATTTCTCTCTTGTGGCATCATATAAGGCAAAAAAGTTTCAGATTCTGGAGCATTATGGATTTCAGATGGGGGATGCTCAGCCTGTGCGTAGAATCCTAATTTAGCTGAGCACCCTGTATTTTATGTAGTAATGCTAATAAGCAGTTCAAATATTTCCCGAATTTCAGGGGATGGTATTTCCATTTTTCCTGCTCTTACTTAGACCCTCTCGTCCCCACCAAGCCCTCTAGTTGTAAGGTAAGGCTGGAGGAGAAGGACCCATTTCCCAAATCAGATCTGTAATTTTACTTCCAGTTTATACAAACCTAACATTCAAATAGACCCTTTCCCTGGTAGAAGACAGTACATATTTTTTTTAATGTAAAAAGGCCTTTTTTTTTTATTGTACCAGGGATTGAATGCATGACCTTACGCTTGGTAGGCAGGCATTTATACCACTGAGCTAAATTCCTGGCCCGTAAAAAGGCATTTTAAACATAGGAAAAAGTTCCTCTTAACATAGTTCATTTTCATAATTTGGCAATGCTTGTTTCTTACACTTAATTATGGAGAAGATGGTTTATAAAATTAACTGCAAATGTCTACAGGAGCTTTTTATTCTCTATACAGTCATTTTTACTAAGATACAAAACAAGGAATTAAATACTAATTTTTCTTGTGTTGGTGGTCATCTAGATCAGATAAAATATCATCAAATATCCTATACTCTTCTTTCTTTTTTCCTACTCAGGTCCTGCACCTTTCTTAATTTTCACCCATGAAAACAGCATCTTTCGAATCGACCCAGAAGGGACCAACCATGAGCAGTTGGTGGTGGATGCTGGTGCCTCAGTGATCATGGATTTTCATTACAAGGAGGGAAGAATCTACTGGGTAGATTTAGAAACAAAACTTCTGCAACGAGTTTTTCTGAATGGGTCAAGGCAAGAGGTAAAGTACCATCACCCATGATATTTGAGGAATTTAGGTACAGGCTGACCAATATGATGTGTTGAATTCTTAATATATAGGTAATTGAAAATACCTTAGATTTTCAATGGCTACCTGCCAAATGTAAGAGTTTAATCTGCATTTGTGATACTGTATTATGGAACAAGCTCACAAACTATGTGATAAGCCCTCCAAAGGAGAACCTAAGGAAACTAATGCAAATTTGAAAATATGTAAGTTTATTAGATCAGTTATGATTAACACAGATTATCTACATGACTGGTTATTCCTTCTCACTGGTTCTAAACTAGAGAGTGTTTTGTCCTCTGCTTCAGGGCTGGGGAGATATTTGGCAGTGCCTGGAGACATTTTTGATTGTCACAACTGAGTGATATACAAGGACAGGCAATGGGTAAAGGCCCAGGTGCTTTAAACACCCTACAATATGTAGGACAGCCCCCATGATAAACAAGGATCCAGCCCAAAGTGTCACTGTACTGAGACTGAGAAACCCTGTCTAATCCATGTAAAGGTCTCTGTCATTTAGGGAAAAATAATCACCCGACCCTTGGAAGAAATTTTTTTCCTTTTTATTCTCAAGGTGTTTATACTTTGCAATAGAAAGAGAAGAAGATGATATATATATATAAAGTATTGTACATCAAGTATATACAAAGCATCCTTAATCTTTCTTTCCAACAGGCAGCACTCTTAAACAAGCCCCAGGAGGAATGTTCCTGCACTGCTTTGGAGATGGATTATAGACACCATGTGATTAGAGCAATCTTAAGCATTAACTCTCTGGCACAAAGTTCTCATTCTGTGTGTGTGTGTGTGTGTGTGTGTGTGTGTGTGTGTGTGTGTGTGTTAACCCAATCTTTCTTCCTTCCTTTATTCTTAAAAGCTTCAATTAGGTGTTATTCTGTTTTATCACATCTCTAATACTTTCCAGTCTCACTTTTCAGTTTGGTTATTCATTACTCTCCAGCCAACTGGGAGAGCAGTTTCAGAACCTTGAGTCTAAGAATCTGGAGGGTTTCTGGTCACAGAACAAGAAAAGTTGAACAGTTGGGAGTCTATGTCAAGTCTTTAGGAAAAGATGGGTCTGATACCTAAAAGTCCATTATTATATTCCCTCCTTTGAGTTAAAACATTGTTTGCAAACGACAACTGTTAAAGTGCAAGCAATTTATCTAGGAGAACTAATATAGAAATATATTAGCAGTTATTGAAATAGATTGGCTGGATCACTTTGTTTAAGGTGTAGGACAACCCAAGTCATTGTAAGGGCACAAGGGGAAGGGGGCCAAGAGAAGAATGAATTCCTTAACAAGAAACCCATCCACTGCAGAGCTCTTTGCTTAAACTCCGAGGGAATCTTGCTAGAGTTTGGCCAAGTTTGGGATTGAGTTCAAGTATGGATGTGGACGATTCCACTAAAAAGTAAAATCAAATAAACTAATTTTAAAGCAGCATAAAAATCCTACATTTACTATAGTTGGAATTAATAATTATGTTTGACTGCCTAATTTTTATAATATATAGGATAATTTCTCAGTTTCAGAGCTATGACATTAATACCATGCCCAGAAATCATCATCTGAGTGGTGGTAGTAGAGGTTAAAACCGCTGAATCAAAACAAAGGCACCACATCTGTGGCTAATTTATTATTAAGTAATTCTAGGAATATACTTGAAAATGTCAAGTACTTAAATAAACTTTCACTACATAATAATAAAATAATTTGTTATAAGTGAGGAAATATTAATTTCAAAATTTTATTTTACAGAAAGTATGCAATATAGAAGAAAATGTTTCTGGAATGGCAATAAATTGGATAAATGAAGAAGTTATTTGGTCAAATCAACAGGAAGGAATCATTACAGTAACAGATCTCAAAGGAAGCAATTCCCATGTTCTTTTAAGCACCTTAAAACAACCCACATATATAGCAGTTGATCCAGTTGAAAGGTAAATTCTGCTCTTTTGAGACATTGAAATAAATTTCAGATCTAATGCAGATTCCTAAAAAGATAACATTTTGAGTTCAAGGGACTGTATCCTTGAGACCAAGACCTTTAGAGTACACAGGTATCATGTTCACTGGGGCCATTGCCTGCATTTGAACTCAGGAAGGCTCCCTCTAAAACATGGATAACTAACCATGATTGTTTTTTGCAATAGAAGCGTAATTCCTCTAACCGGAAATCACATGGAATTTTCATAACAGCGAACACTCACTTGTTGAATTGAATTTTCACTAAAATAGTCAAACTCTTTGGTGTAGGCACTGGGGGCTGCTGGGACCTCGGCAGGCCCCATCTTCTCCTCGACGATCCATTCATTTGGCTACGGGTCTATGTGCTATGTTTGCCCTCAGGTTTATATTCTGGTCTTCCGAGGAGGCCGGCAGCCTTAGCAGAGCAGATCTCGGTGGTGTAGAAGTGAAGAGTCTGTTGGTGACAGAGAAGAAAATAACAGCGATGTCTCTGGATGTGCTCAATAAACGTCTATTTTGGGTTCAGGAAGGTGGAGAAGGAAGTGATTCTCATATTGGTTCCTGTGATTATGATGGAAATTCTATCCAGCTCATCAAACATCCAACACAGTAAGTTTTGCTTTCTGTGTAAAATAATTGTCACTTGAGGTATGTGTGCCATAAATTAATTTTGTCACCTGCACTGGTGTGGTAATATAGCACATAGAATTTTACAATCCAAAAGCTTTGAGTTCGAGATTTACTAATTATTAGGTAAATGATTTTTGAAATACTAACATAACTTACCCTTAGTTGTTACTAAGGTGAGAATAATAACAGTGCACGTCTTTGGGAGTTATTGTAAAGATTGTGTAAATAAATACAAATAATAATAGCAGAATATCCAACGTAATAATAAATTTTCAGATGCTGATCATAGTTCTTTTTGGAATTAGTATATTATATTTTGCATAGCACCTATCTTTTATTTGACTTGCTATCATGTTAGTAACTGACTTTCCATCTTGTAAAAAAGGTAGAAATTAACCAAGTGAAATAAAACCAGAAATCTATGCTTACCCTGCTCCTGTCTTTCCTCTCATTTTCACCGTGCTTATATGATGACTAACAAAAGGAGTAATCTGGAGCTGGAAACTATATTGTATTGTTTAGATAATGATGACATAGGTAGAAATTTACACAGTGTGTTTCTAAACCTACCTGAGAATCAGGGGGAAAGGTAGGTGATTGAACATAATACAAGAAATGGAAATGAACTAAAACTTTAATAATTCCAGGAACACACAGTCTGCCTTTCTTTCATGTTTTTATTTTTTTTTAATTTCCTGTCATTTTTTTAGGTACAGTGTCTTTGTGATGTCCGTTTTTGGTGACCGTATCTTCTATTCAACATGGAAAAAGTCATCAATTTGGATAGCCAGCAGACTCACCGGAAAGGACATGGTCAGCATTAACCTCAAGCCATCGCTCACACCACCTGGCCAGCTCAAAGTGGTGCATCCGCTTGTGCAGCCCACGGGAGGGGACAATGTACAGGACTCTGGTGAGTCACCTGTGACCTCGAAAGGCCCGGCACACTGTCGATACCTGACTTCTTGCTCAAGCCAGACAAAGGGTTTGGAAGGAAAGAAAAATAGCTGTTTAATTAATCCTTTTAAATTCTTTACTGGAATACACTCCTATAACAAAAGACAGATAAACAAAGAAAAATAAGTAGGACTCTATTAACGTGTGCATTTCATCTGTGCAAAGGACACGGCCAGGGAATGAGGGAGCCCTCAGGGCTGGCTTTGACTCCAGCTGAAATTGGATCCCCCACAAAGAGCAGGACATTTTCAGAGAAGTGACGAGATGAGGAGAAAGGACATGGTCTTTCCTGGTGGCCTCTGAGGCAAAGGCAAATAAAAGGCAGATAGAGGCCAATCAGCAGAGCTATTCATGTTGATTCCTTGGGTACCATCTCTACACAAGGAGGGCCCAGGTTGTCTCCAGCGGGTAATTAAAAGGCAGATAGAGGCCAATCAGCAGAGCTATTCATGTTGATTCCTTGGGTACCATCTCTACACAAGGAGGGCCCAGGTTGTCTCCAGCGGGTAATCTTTGAGCTCTCGGGCAGATGGGGAAGGCAGGATGCTTTCTGTCTTTGTAAATGTTCTGTCTCAGGCAGATGAAGAAAGGACAGAGAGCTTCCCTTTATTCGCTTCCTCTACGCTGTCTGCAGCTCAATAATCTTTCATATTTTGGCAGCAAACTCTGGTCTCCTTGATTTCTCCTACAGTTTCATTCCCCATTTCCAATCTGCCACCAAATTCCGTCCATGCTGCCTCCATGAATACACACTGAATGTCCTCTCCTGTCACTCCTTTCCTCTCCTGCCACCAGCACTGTCCACCCAACCAGCCTTTCCTGCCTGGCCTGTTGCAGCAATTACTCGGTTGATCTTTCCACTTTTCCCTCTTGTCTTCAAATAATAAATCTCATTCATTCGCTCCTCTGCTTAAACTCTTCAAAGCTTTCCTTTGTACGTAGATTGAAATCCAACATATCATCAGGCCTGTCAGTATTTAACCTACTTCCTCTAGGGCTCTCTTCCTACAGGCCAGGACCAGTCTCCCTACCGGTCCTCAGTCGTGCCAAACTTCCTCAGGACTTCTGGCTTTTGCAGTTGCTCTTGTTCCAGCCTGGCTTCTCTTTAGTTCTGAGCTTCGGTATTATGTGCTCTGACAGGGCTTCTCTGAGCAGCCCATCACAGCAGGTCCTGCTCTTGTGTTTCTCTCACTATGCCTTTTGCTGAACTTAATATGGGGTGTACTTATAAACCAACCATGCCTACTTTATTTATTTGTCTTGAACCACAATAGGTACAGTTGTTATTCAAAAATAAACACATTTCAGACAATAAATGTCATGCAAATGGATGAATGATTGACTAAATCTAGTCAAGTTCCAAATGTCTACTTCCAAGTGTACTCTGCTGTTTGAGCTAAGCATCTCATTTTTTTAATGAGATGGCTTTTGAATGCTTTTATAATTGCTAGGCTACTCAGTATGGCTTATATGGCAAATAATTAGTGTTACACTTGATACCTCACTTTGACATATATGAAAGTTTTATTTCAAGAAGGTTATACAAAATACTTAATTTTATTCCCACATAGGCCTCTGAAATATAGACAGAGAGGTAGAATTGTTTGCTTCTACTGTTTTTCCTGTTGGAGTCCTCTAGGGTTGGTGACAGTGAGGGTCAATGTCTATGGTCCTGCACGATTGGCTTTCCCAGTGTTCAGACCTGCCACAGACCTGGTTTCCAAAGAGACCTGTGGAGCTGGCTGGGAGGATAGGTGTGAGCTTTGTAGAAGGGAGGTCAAGAGGAAAATGCCCTTCCTATTTCTTATACCTCAGGCAGATAATGAACAGTGATAATGTTTTTAAAATCTAGTTTCTTTAAAAATTGAGCCAGAAACTATCCTTCAACTTCTGCGGTGACCACGTTTTCAATGCTGGTAATGAGAAGGTGCAAAGAATAACAAACTCTAACAGAAGAAGCATTTCCTCAGATGTCACATTTACTTTTTAAAAAATTGATTTACTCGGATTTACAAAGTTGTTGCGATGTGTGGCACGAGTTATGGGATTAACACAACTGCAGAGTGTAGTGCCTCGCTAAATTACAACAACCTGCTGGCTATGCTATAGAGTCCACAGATTAAGGCCCTGAATCTGATGTACCACTGGATGCCGCCTGTAACTCAAGCTACCTCCCAATACTACTCATGGAGAGTGATGACCTATGACAAAACTATAACAGCAACCATACTGAATAAGTTGTCATTAGTGATTAGCGCTAATAATATCATCACCTTCCTTTGTATTTATGTGTAACCTTGTAGTTTCCAAAGTGTTCTCATGCACATTCACTTATTGGCTCAGCAAGTGACATTGTGGGACAGAAAGGGTATGGAAAATTGTATTCATTTTATAATTGGGAAGCCAAAGAAATGGAGTTTCCTAGGGTTACATAGCTAGTGATGATGGATTCGGGGAAAAATTCCTAATCATTTGTGTTCTTTCTACCATATTTTGTCTTCAGAGACTTCACTCTTACTCTTACTTTTTCTTTTTTTTAATGTCTTTTTGAGACAGGGTCTCGCTATGCAGTTCAGGCTGGCCTTGAGCTCACTTTGCAGCCCAGGCTGGTCTCGAACTCACAACAATCCTCCTGCCTCAGCCTCCCGAGTGCTGGAATTACAGGTGTGAGCCACCATGCCTGGCACTCTTCCCCTTTCAAAGGTGAATTTAAACAGAAACATTGAAAGCATGAATTTCAGAAGAAAACTTATCATGATTAACTAACACAGCTGCAAACTCTATGGCCAGCAACAAAACTTGGCCAGAGGCCCCTGCTAGCTGCAGAGCCTGTGACACAGTGAAATCTGGAACTCAGCAGGTGCTGGAGACTGGATCTAGCTACTGACAATCAGGTGGACTGCCCATATACTCCAGGTGCAAAAGAATTGTGGCTTTAAGAGTGTTGTCACTTTGGCCCTCATTAATTGGGTTCAAGTTGCTTCAATGGCTTAAAGAGCAGAAATTATTCACGTAGGACTTGGGTCTGTGAACTTGTTGATTTATGGATTAGAAGACAATTTGTAATTGTTCCCCTGGGGAGATTATGTATACCTTTCGTCAGGTCCTTGGTGTGTGTGGTGTCTTCCTTTTCCTTGGAGCAGCATGCTATAGAGATAAACCAGTTTCTCCTGGATGCTAAGTCTGCAAGGACAGCTCCTGTGGCATGATGCACAATAATATTTGTGTTTTATCAGGCATTTGGGAGAGGCGCTGCTTGTCTTCTTTTCTCATCATTTAAACATTATACCTGACACCCACAACTCAAATGAGGAGAGGTTTATTTAGCTCACAGTTTGTAGAGGTTTCAGTCCATAGTTAGCTGGCTCCAAGGCAGGGGGGCATGGCAGAGGGTCCTGACAGAGGAAGAGTAACTTCAAGGCATGGTGGCAGGAAACAGAGAGAGATCAAGAAAGGAGAGAGGGAGACAGACCCTTCCAGGCCCATGACCCACCTCCCCCAGCCAGGCTTCTCCTTCCAACATCACATTCAGCTATAAATGCATCAGTGGACTAATCCACGGATGAACATCAGACAGCCATGACCCAATCATTCCCCAAAAGCCCTGCCTGTGAGCACGTGAGGCTTTGGAAGACATCTAGATAGAAACCATAACATTACTGCAGTGAGGCGATAACTGAGAAGTCCTGCAACCTGATTGGTCTTATTTTTGTTATAAAATATAAATACTTAAAAAGTAACACCTATACACTTATTTCTCCTTGCAAAATGCCTAATCTGTACTTTATCAGTATGTGTTCTATAGCCCACTAGAATCCTGTGGGATTTAACGGATGTGGGTGAGGGTGCCTTCTTAGTTCAAGAGGTTTAGAGATACTGGGATCAATAAGTTACTTAAATAGTTTTTCTCTTTCTCTTTTCTTTTCTGAAACAAAACTTTTCATAACCATTTATACAGCCATTCAACCTGTGGCATTTTTCTATTTTATGTCCTGTGTAGCAGCCCACATGCCTCTTAAATCCATTATTTCTTTTTTTTTTTTTTTTTGTCTTTTTATTGGTACCAGGGATCGAATTCACGACTGCCTACTTGCAAGGCAGGCACTTATGCCGCTGAGCTAAATCCCCAGCCCCAAATCCATTATTTTAACCTAGATCTTTTTTGTTTTGTTTGATCTCTAGACCAAATATTTTTTAAAAAGGAGGGGGAGTCTGAGGTGTAATGAGCACTAAGCTCTTTATCTGCTACAGAATAAAGCCACAGGGAAAATTGATTGAAAACACTGGGGGTATATTCACCATATACAAAAGGGAGCAGGCCGTCTGTCTACCTAAGACAAGGTGCAGCTTGCAGAGTTTTTCAAGGGAGACTGATTTGTTAGTTTATGCAAGCCATTGGCTTGTGAATTCAGCCTGGCTGATTTTAGAGGAGCTTCATGCTCTGACTGTTGAACCCCTAAGTTGAAGAAGCAGAGCCACAGTCTTACTCACAGGGTGTTTTCTGGCCATCTGACCATTTCCCAGAGAGTTGAGCTGGCCTCTCCTCTGAGCAGCATCTCTTGCTGTCTGCACCCCCCTAGCTCTGGGTCCTGCGCTGAGTCCATCAAATACCTGTGTCAAAGCTCAGCAGTAATATCCTTGTCAGGCCCTTATCTTTACCCAATTTCTGGCCCTCTCCACTTGGATTTCTTGCAAGTGGTTTAGGCTCAAAGAAAACAGCTGATCCTTAACTCTCACCCTTCCCTCCAGGTCTCCTAGCTCAGTGAGTGACATTAGCCATCCAGATCCCCAAAACAGAAACTCAGGAGGCTCCTGTTCCTTCCTCTCCCTCTCACCACACTCCAAGTCCTAATAGTAATCTAAGCACGGTTATCCCGCCCCACAGCTGCCACTCTATACTGCCCAGCTGGCTGCTTTCCTACCTCCTTGTTCTATGCTACAAGGCAGAAGCCTTTG